AGGGCGTGGTTCGACACCTCCACCCACCCCGCCCACTTGCTGGTGAGGAAGGTGGGCGGGAGAGACGAGGGCAGCTACAGGTGCAAGGTGCACTTCAGGGCCTCGCCCTCATGGTCTCAGAAGATCACTCTCACTGTCCAAGGTTAGTGGTCCGTGGTGGTCCGTAGTCATGTATGGTGGTCCGTAATGATGCACGGTGGTCCGTGGTAGTGTACGGTGGTCCGTAGTGATGTACGGTGGTCCGTAGTCATGTACTGTGGTCCGTAGTAATGTACGGTGGTCCGAAGTGATGTACGGTGGTCCGTAGTGATGTTCGGTGGTCCGTAGTGATGTATGTTGGTCCGTAGTGATGTATGGTGGTCCGTAGTGATGTACGGTGGTCCGTAGTGATGTATGTTGGTCCGTAGTGATGTATGGTGGTCCGTAGTGATGTACGGTGGTCCGTAGTGATGTACAGTGGTCCGTAATGAAGTACGGTGGTCCGTAGTGATGCATGGTGGTCCGTAGTGATGTACGGTGGTCCGTAGTGATGTACGGTGGTCCGTAGTGATGTACGGTGGTCCATAGTGGTCCGTAGTGATGTACGATGGTCCGTAGTGGTCCGTAGTGATGTACGGTGGTTCGTAGTGGTCCATTGTGATGTTCAGTGGTCCGTAGTGATGTACAGTGTTCCGTAGTGATGTACGGTGGTCCGTAGTGATGTACGGTGGTCCGTAGTGATGTTCGGTGGTCCGTAGTGATGTATGTTGGTCCGTAGTGATGTATGGTGGTCCGTTGTGATGTACGGTGGTCCGTAGTGATGTACAGTGGTCCGTAATGAAGTACGGTGGTCCGTAGTGATGCATGGTGGTCCGTAGTGATATACGGTGGTCCGTAGTGATGTACGGTGGTCCGTAGTGATACACAGTGGTCCGTAGTGATGTACGGTGGTCCGTAGTGATGTACGGTGGTCCGTAGTGATGTACTGTGGTCCGTAGTGATGTACGGTGGTCCGTAGTGATGTACAGTGGTCCGTAGTGATGTACGGTGGTCCGTAGTGATGTACGGTGGTCCGTAGTGATGCATGGTGGTCCGTAGTGATGCACGGTGGTCCGTAGTGATGTGCAGTGGTCCGTAGTCATGTATGGTGGTCCGTAGTGATGTACGGTGGTCCGTAGTGATGTACTGTGGTCCGTAGTGATGTACGGTGGTCCGTAGTAATGTATGGTGGTCCGTAGTGATGTATGGTGGTCCGTAGTGATGTACTGTGGACCGTAGTGATGTACGGTGGTCCGTAGTGATGTACGGTGGTCCATAGTGGTCTGTAGTGATGTACGATGGTCTGTAGTGGTCCGTAGTGATGTACGGTGGTTCGTAGTGGTCCATAGTGATGTTCAGTGGTCCGTAGTGATGTACAGTGTTCCGTAGTGATGTATGGTGGTCCGTAGTGATGTATGGTGGTCCGTAGTGATGTACGGTGGTCCGTAGTGATGTACGGTGGTCCGTAGTGGTGTATGGGGGTCCGTAGTGATGTACGGTGGTCCGTAGTCCGTAGTGATGTATGGTGGTCCGTAGTGATGCATGGTGGTCCGTAGTGATGCACGGTAGTCCGTAGTGATGCACGGTAGTCCGTAGTGACGTATTGTGGTCCATATTGATGTACAGTGGTTCGTAGTGATGCATGGTGGTCCGTAGTGATGTACGGTGATCCGTTGTAGTGTATGGGGGTCCGTAGTGATGTACAGTGGTCCGTAGTGATGTATGGGAGGTCCGTAATGATGCACGGTGGTCCGTAGTGATGCACGGTGGTCCTTAGTGATGTACGGTGGTCCGTAGTGATGTACGATGGTCCGTAGTGATGTACGATGGTCCGTAGTGATGTACGGTGGTCCGTAATGATGCACGGTGGTCCGTAGTGATGTACGATGGTCCGTAGTGATGTACGATGGTCCGTAGTGATGTAAAGTGGTCCGTAGTGATGCATGGTGGTCCGTAGTGGTCCGTAGTGATGCACGGTGGTCCATAGTAATGTACAGTGGTCCATAGTAATGTACAGTGGTCCGTAGTGATGTACGGTGGTCCGTAGTGATGTACGGTGGTCCGTAGTGATGCATGGTGGTCCGTAGTGGTCCGTAGCGATGTACGGTGGTCCGTAGTAATGTACGGTGGTCCGTAGTGATGTACAGTGATCCTTAGTGATGTACAGTGATCCGTAGTGATGTACAGTGATCCGTAGTGATGTACGGTGGTCCGTAGTGATGCACGGTGGTCCGTAGTGATGCACGGTGGTCCGTAGTAATGCACGGTGGTCCGTAGTGATGTACGGTGGTCCGTAGTGATGCACGGTGGTCCGTAGTAATGTACGTGGTCCGTAGTGATGTACGGTGGTCCGTAGTGATGCACGGTGGTCCGTAGTAATGCACGGTGGTCCGTAGTGATGTACGGTGATCCGTAGTGATGCACGGTGGTCCGTAGTAATGCACGGTGGTCCGTAGTGATGTACGGTGGTCCGTAGTGATGCACGGTGGTCCGTAGTAATGCACGGTGGTCCGTAGTGATGTACGGTGATCCGTAGTGATGCACGGTGGTCCGTAGTAATGCACGGTGGTCCGTAGTGATGTACGGTGATCCGTAGTGATGTACGGTGATCCGTAGTGATGTACGGTGGTCCGTAGTGATGTACGGTGATCCGTAGTGATGTACGGTGGTCCGTAGTGATGTACGGTGGTCCGTAGTGATGTACGGTGGTCCGTAGTGATGTACGGTGATCCGTAGTGATGTACGGTGGTCCGTAGTGATGTACGGTGGTCCGTAGTGATGCACGGTGGTCCGTAGTGATGTACGGTGGTCCGTAGTGATGCACGGTGGTCCGTAGTGATGTACGGTGGTCCGTAGTGATGTACGGTGGTCCGTAGTGATGTACGGTGGTCCGTAGTGATGCACGGTGGTCCTTAGTGATGTAGTCCGTATGTACGGTGGTCCGTAGTGATGCACGGTGGTCCGTAGTGATGTACAGTGGTCCGTAGTGATGTACGGTGATCCGTAGTGATGCACGGTGGTCCGTAGTGATGTACGGTGGTCCGTAGTGATGTACGGTGGTCCGTAGTGATGTACGTGGTCCGTAGTGATGCACGGTGGTCCGTAGTCATGTACGGTGGTCCGTAGTGATGTACGGTGGTCCGTAGTGATGCATGGTATAACGGGATTCATAATCAGTAGGGGATCCTAGGCCCGTAGTGGTCCATGGTGTGAATAGCGTCCATGGTTCATACTGGTCCATATATACAGTCTTAAGTGGTCCATGAAGGTCCGTGGTGGTCTGTCCTGGTACGTGGTGAACGATAATGGCTTTAGTGGTCCTTTGTGGCCATTATCGTGGTCCTGTGTTGAGGTTTAGAAGTGCTTGAACGCCTGTAGTGGTCCATATTGTTACTTGGTGGTCTTTTTTAGTCCATGTTGGTCCGTAGTGGTCCATGCTGGTCCGTAGATGCATGGTGGGGCCTTAGTGGTCCATGGCTTGTAATGGTCCACAGTCTTTAGTAACCCAAGGGCCGTAATGGTCCATGGTGAATGGTGGGCCACTGTCTGCGGTGGTCCATGGTAAATGGTGGGCCATTGTCTGCGGTGATTCAAGGAGTTCGTTGAACATGGTCCGTAGTAGTTATTTGTGTGTGAAAGTCCATGGTCCCTAGTGGCCCGTAGTGGTCCATGATGTGTGGTGGTCTATGGTCCGTAGAGGTCCCTGGTTTGTGGTGATCCATTGTCCGTAGTGGTCCCTGGTGTGTGGTGGCCCATAATCCATAGTAGTCCATGGTCTATAGTGGTCCATGATCGGTAAAGGTTCATGGTCCAGAGCGGTCCATGGTCCATTGTGGACAATAGCCCGTGTAATGCACCTTCAATATATAGCCAGTATGACCTTCCCCGCCATGGATATACAAGCTGTATACTAGTGTGGTCTTGATATACCCCTACCACACCTTCCCCTCCTCCCCCCTCCACCTCTTCCTCCTTCCCCCCCCCCTCCCCTCCTTCCCCCCTCCTCTTCCTCCCCCTCCCCCTCCCCCTCCCCCTCCCCCTCCCTCCCCCCTCCCCTCCCCCCCCTCCTCCTCCTCCTGCCAGTCCTCCTGGGAGTACACACTGCTCCGTGTCGTTTCAGACCCGCCAGAGTTCCCCAGGATCCAGGACAGGTCCGGTGCCCGCCTGGAGGGCCCCATCGGTCCCTACGAGGACGGCACCATCGTCAAGATGATCTGTCTCAGTTCTGGAGGTAAGTTTAGGGCTTGTGAAGGGGTGGGTGGGTGGGTGGATAGTTAAGGGTGGGGTAGTTAAAGGGGGGGCTAGTGAGGGGGGTGGGGTGAGGAGAGTGGGGCTAGTGAGGAGAGTGGGGTTAGGGATGTGGTAAAATTGCTTGCTGCTAGGTCACACTAAAAGGTCACTGATCTACACAAACTACCGTCACTTTCACCTTTCCTGTACACAACCACATCAATTATCGTGAAGTAATTTCTTGGGAATTACAGCAGGACATCACCTTACTGACTGTATTACTGCAAAAGTATATGTATAACTAGGTGTATTAACTATGACATTCTTGCAAGATAACCATAACTTTCCCCTGGCATAACTATATGTTGAGTCCTTGTTGCATCACGGAGCCCCAAGCTACGTCATATCCATTAATTAACACTTGGTACACAGTGTTCCACAGAACAAGACAAGGTGTAACTCAACTGACAGGTGCAGCGGATGTGGTTCAGTGGTGTACTAGCAAGTGTAGTTGGTGGGCAGCCACCACTAGCACGTGGAGTTGGTGGGCAGCCACCACTAGCACGTGGAGTTGGTGGGCAGCCACCACTAGCACGTGGAGTTGGTGGGCAGCCACCACTAGCACGTGGAGTTGGTGGGCAGCCACCACTAGCACGTGGAGTTGGTGGGCAGCCACCACTAGCACGTGGAGTTGGTGGGCAGCCACCACTAGCACGTGGAGTTGGTGGACAGCCACCACTAGCACGTGGAGTTGGTGGAAAGCCACCACTAGCACGTGGAGTTGGTGGGCAGCCACCACAAGCACGTGGAGTTGGTGGGCAGTCACCACTAGCACGTGGAGTTGGTGGGCAGCCACCACTAGCACGTGGAGTTGGTGGGCAGCCACCACTAGCACGTGGAGTTGGTGGGCAGCCACCACTAGCACGTGGAGTTGGTGGGCAGCCACCACTAGCACGTGGAGTTGGTGGGCAGCCACCACTAGCACGTGGAGTTGGTGGACAGCCACCACTAGCACGTGGAGTTGGTGGGCAGCCACCACTAGCACGTGGAGTTGGTGGGCAGCCACCACTAGCACGTGGAGTTGGTGGGCAGCCACCACTAGCACGTGGAGTTGGTGGGCAGCCACCACTAGCACGTGGAGTTGGTGGGCAGCCACCACTAGCACGTGGAGTTGGTGGGCAGCCACCACTAGCACGTGGAGTTGGTGGGCAGCCACCACTAGCACGTGGAGTTGGTGGGCAGCCACCACTAGCACGTGGAGTTGGTGGGCAGCCACCACTAGCACGTGGAGTTGGTGGGCAGCCACCACTAGCACGTGGAGTTGGTGGGCAGCCACCACTAGCACGTGGAGTGTCTTCGTGGTCCCATAAGCAGGACACTAACGCGTGCTGTTTTCATCGTGGTCTCCGTAAATGAGACGGCTGGAGGGGTCGGCCCCCCTAGCTAGATGCTGCTTCTCTAAGCGTCAACCACTGATTGTTCTCGTCAGTGTTTATTTGTACAATATATATTTATATTTTGAACAAATATTTTATATTGTGGAGATGGATTAATGTTACAGTGGTGTTAGTTAGTGTTATACCAGGTTGTTGGATTAATGAGAGGTGTTACAGGTTGTTACCATAATTGTATATGTTAAAATTCAGGTATGTTGTTGGGTTTTGGTTTGAAGATTTCAACAGGCATTGTGTCATGATCTTTGCGTTGGGGACTTGGCATTATTTATACTACATGAGTGAGACACTTGTCAGTACAGACTCTGTGCTGTCTCTAGTGGTCAATACAAGTGGGAATAAGACTGTTTTCATTCATTCTTGTGTTCAATAATCTATCTTTGGCTATACACTATAAATATCACATATAAATAAGCAATCTTTTCTTACAATTTTATTAGTCTCTACTAAAAGTATTAGAACAAATAAGCCATTCTATAGTTAGGTGAAGGGTGAATGAATGGGTATAAAATGGGGTATTAGTAGGGTCTTCTGCATATTACCTCTTGATGGGTGACATGACTGAAGGGTTTGAGTCGATAAGCGGGTATTAAAAGTGTATTAGTTAGGGTGTTTATCATACATTGGTATATACCAGTGTGTGTACATTGTGCTATTGTCCTTACTTCTCATGTATCAACCTTCTGCAGTTTTTATTCTATTCATATTGCCAGTTAATATATATGTTATACTGAATAGCCCTAATAGGCCTTCTGCAATTTCATTTTTATGTTTAAAATACAATCTTTTAATTAGAAATAAACTATGAAAAGAGGAATAAATATGAAAATGGATTAAATAATTGAAAAAGGGATTAAATATGCAATTATAGAAAGCGGACTTATTAAGGGTAGAGGAAGACTGACGGGTTGATGACGTCATTCAACATTAGGGATGACTGTACCCTTGCATCGCCCAGGTAACTAAATTTAGGGATGACGAAAGGATGCTGTTTTAATCTCCTTGGAGAAAAATAGTTAGAGACACAAGGGAGCCGTTTAATCCCCACGGAAAATTTTACTGTGCCAAATCGTAGCCGACGAGTTCTTTGGAAAAAATTGCCAAATCCGAAGCGTCGAGAAAAGCAAAAAGGCTTCGATTTGTCATAGTTTCCACTACTAGCGGCGTGTGTAGAGTGGTGTGAGTATGTAGAGTGGGGTGAGTGTGTAGAGTGGGGTGAGTGTGTAGAGTGGGGTGAGTGTGTAGAGTGGGGTGAGTGTGTAGATTGGGGTGAGTGTGCAGAGTGGGGTGAGTGTGTAGAGTGGGGTGAGTGTGTAGAGTGGGGTGAGTATGTAGATTGGGGTGAGTGTGTAGAGGGGGGTGAGTGTGTAGAGTGGGGTGAGTGTGCAGAGTGGGGTGAGTGTGTAGAGTGCGGTGAGTGTGTAGATTGGGGTGAGTGTGTAGAGGGGGGTGAGTGTGTAGAGTGCGGTGAGTGTGTAGAGTGGGATGAGTGTGTAGAGTGGGATGAGTGTGTAGAGTGGGATGAGTGTGTAGAGTGGGGTGAGTGTGCAGAGTGGGGTGAGTGTGTAGAGTGGGGTGAGTATGTAGATTGGGGTGAGTGTGTAGAGGGGGGTGAGTGTGTAGAGTGCGGTGAGTGTGTAGAGTGGGATGAGTGTGTAGAGTGGGATGAGTGTGTAGAGTGGGATGAGTGTGTAGAGTGGGGTGAGTGTGCAGAGTGGGGTGAGTGTGTAGAATGCGGTGAGTGTGTAGAGTGGGATGAGTGTGTAGAGTGGGATGAGTGTGTAGATTGGGGTGAGTGTGCAGAGTGGGGTGAGTGTGTAGAGTGGGGTGAGTGTGTAGAGTGGTGTGAGTATGTAGAGTGGGGTGAGTGTGTAGAGTGGGGTGAGTGTGTAGAGTGGGGTGAGTGTGTAGAGTGGGGTGAGTGTGTAGAGTGGGGTGAGTATGTAGAGTGGGGTGAGTGTGTAGAGTGGGATGAGTGTGTAGAGTGGGATGAGTGTGTAGAGTGCGGTGAGTATGTAGAGTGGGATGAGTGTGTAGAGTGGGGTGAGTGTGATGAGTGGTAACTGGGGTGAGTGTGATGAGTGGTAACTGGGGTGAGTGTGATGAGTGGTAACTGGGTGTGAGTGTGATGAGTGGTAACTGGGGTGAGTGTGATGAGTGGTAACTGGGGTGAGTGTGATGAGTGGTAACTGGGATGAGTGTGATGAGTGGTAACTGGGGTGAGTGTGATGAGTGGTAACTGGGGTGAGTGTGATGAGTGGTAACTGGGGTGAGTGTGATGAGTGGTAACTGGGGTGAGTGTGATGAGTGGTAACTGGGGTGAGTGTGATGAGTGGTAACTGGGGTGAGTGTGATGAGTGGTAACTGGGTGAGTGTGATGAGTGGTAACTGGGTGAGTGTGATGAGTGGTAACTGGGTGAGTGTGTAGATTGGGTGAGTGTGTAGAGGGGGGTGAGTGTGTAGAGTGGGATGGAGTGTGATGAGTGGTAACTGGGGTGAGTGTGATGAGTGGTAACTGGGGTGAGTGTGTAGATTGGGGTGAGTGTGTAGAGGGGGTGAGTGTGTAGAGTGGGATGAGTGTGATGAGTGGTAACTGGGGTGAGTGTGTCAATAACTATACACTACGTATTTTGTATTCCTTTTATTTGTAATTGATTGTAGAAAGTTAAATTGTAGAGTCCCAGGAACTGTTATGTCACTGTCATGTCCCAGCCACTGTTAGGTCACTGTCATGTCCCAGGAACTGCTAGGTCAGTGTCAGGCCTCACTCACTGTAGGATCCCAGTCACTGCAAGGCCAAATTCATTGCACGGTCCCAATCACTGCCAGGTCCCAATAACTCTCAGGTCCCAATCACTGCCAGTTCCCAATCACTGTCAGGTCCCAGTCACTGCCAGGACCCAATCACTGCCAGATCTCAATAACTCTCAGGTCCCAATCACTGTCACGTTCTGCTGTTACTGCAAAGTCAATGTACATGCACTGTCAGGCCCCAGTCACTGTCAGGCCCAGTCGCTGTTCGGCCACAGTCACTGTCAGGTCCCAGTTAGTGCCAGATCAGAGACAGGCATCAGTCACTGCTATGTCACCCAGAAGTCTGTGCCAAGTCACACCTCAGTCACTGCCTCCAGCCACTGTTGACTCCACCACGTTCATGATTTATAAAGTGCATTGTACTGTATATTGTATGTTGCATATTATAAGTTGTATATTTTCTGTATATTATAAGTTGTATACTGTATTATATTTCCTGTATATTGTACGTTAAATATTATATTTTCAGTATATTGTATGTTGAACTAGTAACTTATGCAAATATAGAGATGAATTTGAAATCATTTAGGTTCATTTTCTTATTGATGAGGTTTTAACGTGTTATACCAGTGTCTGGAAACCCCCCTGGTGTTATACCATTGTCTGGGGACCCCCCTGGTGTTATACCATTGTCTGGGGACCCCCCCTGGTGTTATACCATTGTCTGGGGACCCCCCTGGTGTTATACCATTGTCTGGGGACCCCCCTGGTGTTATACCATTGTCTGGGGACCCCCCTGGTGTTACACCATTGTCTGGGGACCCCCCTGGTGTTATACCATTGTCTGGGGACCCCCTGGTGTTATACCATTGTCTGGGGACCCCCCTGGTGTTATACCAGTGTCTGGAGACCCCCTGGTGTTATACCAGTGTCTGGGGACCCCCTGGTGTTATACCATTGTCTGGGGACCCCCCTGGTGTTATACCAGTGTCTGGAGACCCCCTGGTGTTATACCAGTGTCTGGGGACCCCCTGGTGTTATACCAATGTCCGAGGACCCCCCTGGTGTTATCCCAGTGTCTGGGGACCCCTGGTGTTATACCATTGTCTGGGAACCCCCTGGTGTTATACCAGTGTCTGGGGACCCCCCTGGTGTTATACAAGTGTCTGGGGACCCCCCTGGTGTTATACCATTGTCTGGGGACCCCCCTGGTGTTATACCAGTGTCTGGGGACCCCCTGATGTTATACCAGTGTCTGGGGACCCGCCCTGGTGTTATACCATTGTCTGGGGACCCCCTGGTGTTATACCATTGTCTGGGGACCCCCTGGTGTTATACCAGTGTCTGGAGACCCCCTGGTGTTATACCAGTGTCTGGGGACCCCCCTGGTGTTATAGCAGTGTCTGGGGACCCCCTGATTTTATACCAGTGTCTGGGGACCCCCTGGTGTTATGCCATTGTCTGGGGACCCCCTGGTGTTATACCAGTGTCTGGGGACCCCCTGGGGTTATACCAGTGTCTGGGGACCCCCCCTGGTGTTATACCAGTGTCTGGGGACCCCCTGGTGTTATACCAGTGTCTGGGGACCCCTGTTATTATACCAGTGTCTGGGGACCCCTGGTATTAAACCACTTAAGGTATAACTAAACAAAACGTTGTAAAATGCCTCCGTAACTTCTTATTTTTTTCCCAAAAACACAAAATATCACAATGAGAGAAAACGGTGACCAGTCGCCAACAGGAGGTCTGATGAACGACTCTTCCGTTCCGATCACTACAATTACTCAATTAACTCACTATAACAAGCTTCCATTAAACTTATTCCGGAACATTTGTCATGTAAATTGCACCACAAACTGGAGGAATACATAATTTTACTAATAAGTCGTTTTTTTTTATGCGTAAATGACGTTGAACGTCCCAGTTTTTTTTGCAGAAACGTGAATTACATTGAGAGATGTGTAACTACTTAACTACGCCTCCTCGTTCAGTAATTAAACAATCTAACTCATTTAGAACACAACAATTTCTTGCTACTTTCTACGTCTTGTACCGAGGTTTGATAATTTGGTATTTTGTTCATACTTTCCTAGTTAGATAGGAAATCAAGATTTAACATTTAAAGTATTCACGTACAGCAAAAAAAAAAAAAATCGTTGATAATGTTAGT